TATTCTGTATTGGCACGTTGTTGTTGTTCTGACATTTTCAGTCATTTCCAACTCTTTGTGACATTAGTATGAGTTTTCTTGGCAAAGATACTGGAGTGGTTTGCCATTTCCATCTCCAAATTATTTTATAGATGAGGAAACTGAGGTAAATTGATTTAAGTGGCTTGCCCAGGGTCACACAGTAAGTGTCTGAAGCCAGATTTGAACTCATGAAGATTACTCTTCCTGACTCTAGGACCAGCACTCTACCCATAGTGCCACCTGACTTGTTTATGTTCTTTCAAAAGTTGGCTGCTGGGAATTCCACTCAGAGTGCTGGGGCCTTGTCTAGTTTTCTGTTATATAATGAAGATACAAGTGAGGAAAAAAAAGGTTTGTATGATGGTTATCTTCTGCTCTCATGATATACCAAATCCATCTTCTTTTCTGTTAATACATTTGATAAAATCCCTGTTGTTTCTCCTTCACAATTCCTTTTTTGTGATGTGACATAACCTATTCACAATCATTTCATGTTTCTCTATTGCCTTTTGATCCTGAATTTCAATTTTTCAGAGATTGTAGTATTCCATGACTCATAGCCATGAAACAAAAGCAAAAGCAAAAAAAAAAGATAATTCAAAAAAGATGACCCACGGAGCAGCTAGGTGGCACAGTGCACAGAGCTCCAGCCCTGGATTCAGGAGGACCTGAGTTTAAATCCAGATACATAACACTCACTAGCTGTGTGACCCTGGACAAGTCACTTAACCCCATTGCCCAGCCAAAAAACAAAAAAGATGACTCCTTGTTTTAGGTAGAAATTGGGGTCATTAAAAGATTGAACAATTTCTCAAAGGTAATTTAATAGATTCTCTTCTCCATCAATTCTGGTCCTAACTCATTGTCAATTCGCAATGTATATCCAGCATAATATATGCATGTATGTTCTAAATGTATATGAGTGTGCTTATATGCACACATATAAACATGAATGCACATGTTCCCATATACATATGCATATTTCTATGTGTTGATATCAATGTGTGGTCTTTGTGCTCAAAGTAATGTGAAAAAATAAACAATAGGCAATTGATACCCAAGATAAGTAGGGAGATTGAAAAGAGTACCTAGTTGCTCCTGATGAGCTCAAGTCACCAGGACCAGATGAATTCTTAAAGTAATGAAAGAACTGGCAGATTTAAGACAATGAGACTAATATTTAAATGATTGTGTAAAAATGGGATAGACACTTTAGGATGAGAAAAGAGTAAATGCCACAATTTTGTATTTAAAAAAAGATAGATAAGAAAATAGGTTTTGGCAACTATAGATCAGTAAGTTTGATTTTTGATGTCTGGCAAAATTTTAAGCTCTATTATTAAGTACAGGTGGTATATTCTAGTGTTGAGAGTACGAGCTCGAATCAGCAAGATTTTTATTCAAATCTTGCATTTGAACCTTACCAATTATGTGACCCTGGGCAAGTCACTTAGCTTTTATGTGACTCAGAGGAGTAAGCCATTAGCACATGCTCATAGACAGTCTTTAAACCATGTCAGTACAGATAGGGAGTTCTCACACTATGTTCCCCACAATGATTAAATCAAGAAGCCTTTGAACATTTATGGATTGTTAAAGGTATCTTTTTCTTTTTCTTTTTTTCTTTTTGGCAAAGCAATCGGGGTTAAGTGATTTTCCCAGGGTCACACAGCTAGTGAGTGTCAAGTGCCTAGGGCCAATTTGAACTCAGGTCCTTCTGACTCTAGGGCCAGTGCTCTACCTACTGCACCAGGTAGCTGTTGATGTAAGAAAAAAAAATCTCTAATAATTGGAGCTACCCAAAAGTGGAATGGGAAGTAATGATTCACTCATCACTAATGTGATGAGTTAGATGAACATTTGTTGATTGTATTGTAGAGTGGACTCCTGTTTGGTTAAGTTTGAATTAGATGACCTCTGAGATTCTGTGATTCTGTTACCTTTAGAAGCTAAACTATTCAATTTAAATATATTTTCCTTTTATGTAATATTCACTTTGAGGGTCTTCCTGCCTCAAAGTCTGGCACGCATACATTTCTTCAAACAGTATTAAGACACTTGATAAGCTTTATCTTGAACCTGAAGACATCAATCTTTCAGTATAAAACTATCACAATTAAGCAACAACACACATTGAAATAACAAAGAAAAAACACAGTTGGGAACAAGAAAACTCAAATCTTTAAGCTTCCAATTAGTACACAGCATAAGCAGATTACATTTGTTATGAGCAAACAATGGGTATAGTTCTTTTATATGTATCCTTTTTTTCAGAATAATAATACTTGTCTCCTGAGGAACCTGTATGCAGGCCAAGAAGCAACAGTTAAAACAAACATGAAGCAGCTGATTGGTTTAAGATTGGAAAAGGAGTACAACAAGGTTGTATATTGTTATTTTATTTATTTAAGTTATATGCAGAGTTTATCATGCTAAATGCCAGGCTGCATGAACAAAAAGCTAGAATTAAGGTTGTTGGGAGAAATATCAGCAATCTCAAATATGTAGGTGATACCGCTCTGATGGCAGGAAGTGAAGAAGAATTAAGAAGCCTCTTGATGAGAGTAAAAGGAGAGTGTAAAAGCTGGCTTAAAGTTTAACATAAAAAACCCCTTAAATCTTAACAACTGGTCCCATTACTTCCTAGCAAATAGAGGGAAAAGAAATGGAAGTAGTGTCAGATTTTACATTCTTGGGCTCAAAGATCACTGCAGATGGCAACTGCAGTCATAAAATTAAAAGATGCTTGCTCCTTGGAAGGAAAGTTATGGCAAATCTGGATAGCACACTAAAATGCAGAGACATCACCTTGTCAACAAAGGTCCATATAGTCAAAGCTATTGTTTTTCCAGTTGCAATATATAGCTGTGAGAGTTAGATTATAAGGAAAGCTGTGCACTGCAGAATTGATGCTTTCAAATTGTGGATTTGGAGAAGACTTTTGGAGTCCCTTGGAGAGCAAGGAGATCAAATCAGTCAATACTTAAAGAAAATAATTCAGGCTATTCACTGCAAGGTCAAATAATGAAACTGGACATTAACTACTTTATTTGTTTAAAGCCATTTTTTACAGGTATTTGGAGGGGTTTGGGGGAGAACTCAAGCAAGTCACTGCTTTTACTCTGCCATCTTGGCTCTGCCCCAATTAACTACTTTATTCACATAATGACAAAACAGGACTCATTGGAAAAGACCCTGATGGGAAAGATTGAAGGCAAAAATGAAAAGGGGATGAGATGGATAGATAGTATCATGTAAACAACAAATATGAACTTGGACAGACTTTGAGAGACAGCAGAGGAGACAAGGCCCTGGTGGCTATGGTCCATGGGGTCACAAAGACCCTACTGAATGACTGAACAACAACAACAACAATGTTAGATCGTTCATATCATTGTTTTTGTTTTTTTTTTTTAAATGTAATAAGGTAGATGGCTACAAATGGGAATATGGTAATTAGTATTAAAGGTAAGGGCAAATTGGATAGAGAGTTGAACCTGGGTTCATTTCCTACCTCTGACACACGCTAGCTATGTGACTATGGATAAATCACTTAACATCTCAGGACCCCAGTCAACTAAAACCAGTTGTCCATCTGCATCAGTGGAAGGGATTTCAACACTGAATGTTCCCCATACCTGTGAAATCACAGGTCCAGAATAGCAGCCATCACAAAGGTAGATTAAAGTAGAGAAGGCAACCAAACAGGAAGAAACATGATGACTCAGAAAGAACCCTGAATGTGGAGTCAGAGGATCTGGGTTTGGATTTCAGTTCTGCCACTTACAACTAATGTAATTTTGGGGAAATCACTTCTAGACTCAGTTGACTTATGTGTAAAATGAAACAGTTAGAAATAGTTGATACCTTAGGTCCCTTCCATTTCTAAACCTAGGATTCTATGAAGCACAAGTTTTCTATGAAGACAGGAAAACAAGAAACAAAAGAGACAAAATGTGCATCTGAATTGCCAGTATACTATTGACCTCAAACTTGAAACTTCAAGCCTTACTCATTTCCCTCCCTGAGTTGTTAAGTGACCACATGGCTAGTGGATATCTCCAAGCTCTATTGGGCCCCAAATAGGTCCATGGATAACTTTATCATGGAGTCAGTCTAGATAAATTTTCATCATTTCATCAACCTTAAACTAAGGCGAAAGTATAAAGTATATATGAATAAATGATAGAGATAGGGATTGGACTTGTGATTTAACTGGCACAGAGACCTCCTGATTGAAGAAACTTCCTGTATCAACAAAGATCAGAGCCTTCTTTGAAATTTAGTAATCTTAGTTGCATAGAGCATTGAAAGTATAAATGACTTGTACAAGGTCACACAGCCAGTGCGTGTCAGACAAGGAAGTTGAACCCAGGCCTTTTACGCTAATTTTCTATCCACTGTGACATATCTCTCAGCAAACATCAAAGTAATGGTATTTTTTTTTAAAAAATATATCAAGTAAAGGCCGAGCAAACATTTTTGATAAAAATTCATGATAGAAGTAACTCTGTGCTTCCTCAGGCTTCAATCATCTATTATTTTTCTATCATTACTCAGTTTGGTAAATGAAGTAGAAACCAACAGAAATTTCAACAGCTGAGAAATATCTCATGAAAATAAATGACAATTTGATTTTTCCCTGGGTCTTCTGGGAAAATTGTTTTACATGCATCAATAAAACTTCCTTCATATTAAAGGATATGTTATAAAAATCTCAAAAAAACTAAGGGCATGCAAATATGTATTATAAAATTAAATTACTAGGTATGATTTTATGACAATAGTATTTATAACTTAAAGATACTAATTGTAAGATAGCCACTATTAGCCTAAGCAGTAGAATTAAAATCTTAGAAATGTTATATTGCATTGGTTCACATGATTAATTGAACAGAAAATTTTAAGTATTTCACATTGTACCCTTTGCAAAATTTAAACACTGAGCAAAATGCATTCAACTTTCAAAAAACATTTACCCTATATGTCATCATGTCCTTTGTATAATTGGGCACAATCATGGTCTTCGTGGTCATTTTTCCCACTTCACAATCTATCACAGCATGATCCAGGGGCAGAGGTTTTTTCCCAATCCCTTTTAGTTCAAAGACTTGCTCAATACCATCTGTTTCATTCCGTAGTTTGAGTGTGCCCTGTGACAAGAAAGGAAATGGAGTTTCAGCTCTAGAGGAGTCTTACTGGACTGCCAAACAATCTCATCTATCCTATTAATCTCAAGTCCAGTTAGTAACATGAGCTTTCAAGGGAGTGCTATCGATTGACTTTCCCACTTCATGTGTAAATGTTTCTACTGAATTAATGAAGATAAACTTCTGGTAGAAAGCTTTCTTTTTGTTCTTTAATTGTTCTAAATTATAGAGTTAGTACAGGCATCTTCATACATATTGATTATATGCTTGTTTACCTCCACAGTAAAGAAATATGCCTTCCAAGAAAATGCTTTCTGAGTCACTAACTCTCCTTAATGAAGAGGAAAAACAAGAAATGAACTTTATTTTCTCCAACTGTTATTTTAAAAAATCCTGAGGAGATAGTTCATTGACACAATGTTCTTTGGGACTATTTATTCCTCAAACTAAAATATCTATTTAACATTTGGTAGGGGAAAACTGTGGAAGCCATACAACAATAAAAAACTATTGGAATTCTTAACTTTTCAGAAGCTGAAAACATCTTCCCATCAGTGATATTAAAAATAAATCATGAAGAAAAAACCATGGCCTCTTACCGTAACCTCACATTCCATGATAGGTTTGAATGTCAGTGGATATTGAGCAGTTTCTCCTGATTTCACATATAAAACAGAAGGTCCATAAAACCAATCTCCTTCTATAGTCACTATGCATTTCCATTCAGTCACTGTTTGATTACTCTAAAACAATAAAAAAATGAGATGTCATGTCTTAATAAAACTGTAAAGTGAGATTCAGACCTGATTTCCATTCTAGATATCATCAGGAAAACAGAGTACAATGTCCTTCTTATCAATGAATAGGTGACATATGCATAAAATACTAACTCTCAACAAAGGTATATGATTAAAGGCTCATTTGTCTTTCAGTCACAATGATAAAGACCTGCCTGTATCAAGTTTCTCCCTCCCTCAAGTCCTACTTCAATAAATCTTCCAGCATAGCTACCAAAGTGAATTTCCTGAAGTGCAGATATGAACAGATCATCACTCTCAAATAAAGGGTGATGTCATTAACTCCCACACTTCCCAAGTAAATTCCAGTGGTTCTCTGTCACCTTTAGGGTTAAATATAAATTATTATCTTTGGATTTAGAACTTTTTTTTCATTCTATCTTTCTAGCCTGATTATGTATTGTAATCCTTTCCATGCACTCTCTGGTCCAGCTAATTTGCTCTTCTTATTCTCTCTTACACACAACATTCTTTCTCACACATTCATGCTTTTGCAATGGCCATACCCCATGGCTGGAACACACTCCCTCCTTCTGTCTCTTATTTTTCCTAATTCTGAGTGCCGCATTTAAAAACAATTATTTCAATTCTGTCCAGAAGAGAGTGGCCAAGATGGTTAGAAGCCTGCAAAACATATCATATGAGGGACAGTGGAAGGAACTACGGATTCTGAGTCTGTAGAAAAGATTTAGGATAACTAAAGAGATAGCTAGAAAGTCTGCCTCTATGTTGGAGGTAGGACCAGCTGGGTTCAAGTCCCACCCATAACTTATAGTGTCTGTGTGACCCTGGTCAAGAAATTTAGCTTCTCAGTGACCCAAACTACTCTCCAAGATGAGGAATCTAGAAGAAAAGGGCTATGAGAAATAAGTTGTAGAATAGTTCCCAACCCGCATTACTAGAGGAATTTTCTTTCTGGTCCCTACTACCTTCAGCAAGTCACTTAACCTGTGTGGGTCCCAGTTTCTTTATTTTTAGAATAAGGAGGCTGGATGAAAGTTTCTGTGGTCCCTTCCTACTCCAATTCTATAAAACTACACATATAAAACCATACAAATCATAAGTTTGCAAGAATATATGTATATCATATATACAAAGACACATAATATGTGTGTGTGTGTGTGTGTATGTGTATGAGGGAGTAGATAAATTCTGAAAGTGTTGAGGAAAAGAGCACTAGGACCAATGGATAGAAAATACGAAGAAATAGATTTGCATTGAACATAAAGAACTTCCTTAGAGTTAGAGTTGTAGAAAAATATTATGTATTCTGCTTCCTGAGGCAGAATATTCTCGATCACTGAAAGCATTCAAGCACATTGATAAACACTTGTCAGAAAGGAAAATGTACACAGAGTTTCTGCATCAGGAAGGTGGTTAAACTAGATGCCTTAAAGGTCTTTTCCAATTCTGAGATTCAAATTCTTCTTGAGTCTTTCCTCCTCCTCCTCCAATGCCCCAACCCAAAATTTGAGTTATTACAACATAACTCTCACTGATCTCCCACTATCTCATTAAGCTTAGATTCCAAATAAATCATTAACCTATACATTTTAAAATGCTTTCGATCTTTAAAATCCATTCCAAATTATTTTCCATTTGATTCAAAAACAAAGGTTTATGAAACTGTTTAAGAAAAATATCAAGTAAAAATAAATGTATGACTGGTCAGGCACCAGCAGTACAAACTCCAAGGTGGCTCAAAGCACTTAGGAATCCTAAATGTGAATCTCTCCTTAAATTTTTGTAAGGGTCAAATTAGGTTAAAATCAATATTAAAAGCAGCTTTGAAGACAAGGAGACATTACAACAAGAGGAAGCTCTACTTTTAGCGTGTTGGTAGGAGAGAAGATGGAGACTTCCTACCATTCACATCTATGTTACACAGAAGATTGAATGCTGGGTCACTTATTATATTAAATGAAAAACAATCTAAGTTCCCCTTCACCTAAAAATGTTGTGCTCCTGGGATATATGACAGGGAACAGAGATAGATGTGCCAAACAGAAAAAAGCTCACAGAAATCACATTCAAGAGAGTTTTGTTTGTTTTGTTTTGTTTTGGAAGTCTATACCATACTTCTAAGGGAATAGCAGAGAAGTTCATTAGAGAAAAAAAGACTAGACAATTAATTATTCCCATTTTGAGGCTACCTCTTCATGTCTGGGAACAAAATGTAACTCACTGATATTTCCATTTCTGGTATCTCCAAAGAAATTGTTAGGTAAATCAGAAAGTTATAATTTGCCAATAAAACTCTATTTACTTAAAATGATCATTCATATTTCTATATTCTAGAAATAGAGAATGGTAGAGAAACAGACTTTGGGTTCAAACTACCAAGGATGCGAGATTGTTATCTAGTATTGAATCAAATAAGCTGCAGATACATTATTCTTATAATTCAAGGTTTTAAAAGGCATTATTAAAATATATCTCATGTAGAGAGAAAGAAAATGCTCATTTTATGGGAGTAATAATAGCATATTTTAATGTGATGTTAAAATATATAGGATGGGGCATAGGTCAAATTTTAAAATAAGATAATTGGTTTAGAACTGGCAGAGATAACATAGACTATCTGGTTTAACTACCTTCATTTTTTGGTTAAACTGAAGCCTAGATAGGTTTAGTAACATACTCAGTCAGAAAAGTCACAAATGGTAGAGGCAAAATACAAAACCCATGTCTTCTGATTACAAATCTAGTGTTCTTTCTCCTACTATGGACAAAATATTTTTTAACTCTTAAATATTTATAAATATGATGGATTCTCTCCTTTTTGATAAATACTACTCTGATTCCTTTAAGATTTGTTCCTCTCACTCTTCAACAACTCTTTGTTCCCAACTCTTTGTTCCCTTTTTTAGTGATTTCATTCATTCATTTCTGTGTCAGGTTCTCACCTCTCCCAGACACTCAGAGCCTTTAAACTACTCTCTGGGCTTCAACCCTAGCCAACTATATTAAACATTGTTTCCCATGCTCTTCATATATCTAGAGTTTATTAGAATTGTATGTCCTTTCCTCAGCAACTTGCTAGGTTATGGAATAAATAACCAGATCAATTAATTTGTGGATAATATGTTAGATAATATGTTAGTAATAATACTAATGGTTAAATTCTATCAGACCTCTATAGTTCTTTAAGCTGAAAGAATAACCAGTAAAATTTCAGGGTAAATGAAAACCTGGCGAGAGTAAGAACCATAAATGGGGTGGGACAATTGCAGCTTTGCTCCAGCATACCATAATTTAAAATGACACTTTCAGTCAGCAGAATAGAAACAATTGAGTTTAAGCACTTAGCAAGAGTAATTGGTTAACAGAAGTTAATTGAAGGTATATCAGAAGTCATTTGTCCCAGGCCCAAAAATGTCTCTTTACAACTGTGGCATGGGCAATAACTTGGGATACATGAGGATTGGGAGTGGCATTTGCATGTAAGTAGTTGGAGACACATAGAGCTGACCTTGAAATTCTAGTGTCAGGAAGAAATTCAGGCTTTTTAAAACATTTCCTTTAGTTTACAAAAATAAGTTAATTAAGGAACATCAACTTTAAGGCTAAAAATTAAACTTACTATTGGAATATCCTGAGTCAGTGGTTCAAATGCTGGAGTTTCAAATTGAAATTTGGCCTCTGGAAAGTCAGAATTCACTACACACTCAATGGAAAAGAGCCGAATATCATGGGATGACTTCAGCAAAATAAAACAAGGATATCGTCCAGCAGTGAGAGGAATAAATCTTAAAGGAAGTAAAACATGGTCTATCAAAAAAGAGAGAATAAATCAAATTTATAAATATGTAAAAGTCAAAACATACTTTAAAACATACAATTTTTTAAAATATCTAAAATATAGAAATAATTTATCAAAACATATAATACATAAAAAATGATGAACCTGATTTCTTAGTTTAAAAGGAAAGACCTAAAATTTAATATAATTTTGAAATGTAAACATTTGTTAAATACTTATAAGGAAAATTAAAAACTCCCACTTGAACCAAATCATTCATTTTAGGATATTGAAAAAAAAATTATTGAACTGGCTAATTGTTCTTCCCATTTGGTCACATTTGACCTTTTCCAACTCATAAGATGACAATAATAACAAATACTTGAGTATGCACACAGTGGTAACTATATACACATGTGTATAGTTAAAGAATATATATTAGTTGATGTCTATGTATATGTAAATGGTTAACATAGCTATGTATATGTAAATAACAGAAGTTAAATGAGGGTATATTCGGAGCCATTTATCCCAAACACAAAAACCACTAGTTATGGCTCTGGTGTGGGAAATAATTGGAATAAATGAAGAAGAATGAAAGTGGTATTTACATATTTCATACTATGGAAGTAATGAGATACACATTATAGCTGCCCTTGAAATTCAGTGTCAGAATGAAACTCAGGCTTGTTTTGTTTTGTTTTATTTTTAACTTAGGTCACAAAAATAATCTAATTGATAAACATCAACTTTAAGGTCAAATATATACATACATTGGTATATCCATACATATAGATGTATGCAATAATATATACATGTGTGTGTGAATGTATGTATATTCACTCCAAGTTAAAGAGAATCAAGATAGGCTAGAGAACACTTAGAGTTGCAAACAGCCTATTTCTCCTCTCTAAACTTACAGAGAGGCAGATGTGAGGTCAGTAATAGAGGTGTAGAAAATTAGATTGACCCAAAGGAAACCTTTGACTGTGGAATAGTTAGTGGAGGAGGAATAGATTGGGGAAAGTGTCCTATCAGATTTAAGTATATATTTCACACTTCCTTTTTCACAGATATTTTACTTCCTATCAGAATGGGATTAATATACGATTCTATATTATCTAGTAATGAACCTTCAGTAAGCTAATTTTACTCCAACTCATCCCCACTGAAAGTATATGGTGATGGATAGGATGAGTTCCCTTGCTGTTTCTAATGTCTTTCTTTAATCTTTTTCTCTTTATATTTTGTTTTTACATTGCAAATTTTCTCCTAACGTCTCTCTCCCTCACCCCTCCCAGAGAGCTATCCCATTAGCAAATATAGTTTTAAAAAAAGAAAAGAGAAAATGATGGGGGAAAGGGAAAATCAACAAACCAATGAATACTTTGAAATATATATGTGTGTATAAAATATATAGCATAACATGCATGTATATGTATGTACATATAATGTTTTCACATCTGGGAACCTAACACCTCTGAAAAGGAATGGGCTGGTATGTCTTCTCATATCCCTTTTTTGGGGTCATCCTTGTTTTTTTGTCATTTTGCAACATTCACTTTTGATTAGTTTGCAATTGTTCTTTTGATTTGCATTATTTTAGTCATTGTGTATATTGTCTTCTTGACTGCTTACTTTACTCTGCATCAGTTCATGTAGACCTATCTATTTCATCGTATTTGTCACTGCTTATAACACAGCAAAATTCCATTACATTCATGTACCACAATTTGCTTAGCCATTCCCCAATTAATGGGTATCTTCTTTGCTTCCAATTCTTTGCTTTTCACAAAAAGGTGCTGCTATAAACATTGTGATTTATATGGGAATTTTCTCTTTGGGGGTATAAGCCTTATTTTCATTTCTGTGTCAAAGAATTTGGACTTTTAGTCACTTTTTTCATAATTACAAATTGTTTTCCAAAATGACTGTACTGATTCATCAGTCCACAAATAATGTTCTAGTGTGCTTATCCTCTCAAAATACCCTTCCTAAACATGACTCTTTATCTTTGCCACTTTTCAAGGTGTGCATGGAAACTTTAGGATTGTATTGATTTGCATTTCTCTTGTTTTTGCAATTTGGAGTATTTCTTCATTTGGTTGTTAATAGTTCACAATTCTTTCTTTTAGATATATAAATATGACAGTACAGTAAAATCGCTATTATTGTACTGCTGTCTATATTTTCTTGTAATTTAATTAGTTTTTCCTTTACAAATTTAGATGATGTGATATTTGGAGGATTTAATTTTATTATTATTGTGTATTTGTTATATTATTAACATTTTCTCCATTTGTGTCTATTTCTCTAAAATTGGATTTTTTTCTTCCTTTCCCACTTAAAGAGAGCACGATGTTTCTTCAGTTAGTTGAACTTAATCTACTTTAAGGCAACCACTATCCCACAGGCTCTCTTCCCCTCACCCTCAAGCTTCAGCCCTTCTCATTTGTCACCCTTGCCCTTAGATTTGGAAGTTCACTCAATTCCTTTTCATTTCTCCCCTTTTATCTAGTTAGTTAATTCACACACACACACACACACACACACACACACACACACTTTTTTTGTCTCAAGTTACATAAATAAAGTCCCCTTTCTTTTCTTCCCATTCAATTTCTTTGGTTTATTAGAATATTCTTTCTTTATTTTCTATTGTTTTTATTAAAAATATGTTCCCTCATTCCCTTCATTAATTTTCTTCTTTCTATTCTAAACTTTAATTCTTTCATTCATGGGTCCTTATACTTATTAAATCCTTCAGTCTTTATCTTCCCTCGTGGAATTAAAGTTTCTGGAGTATCTATTTTGAGTCCCTCTTCTAAAAAAATTCTTTTTTATTGTCTTGCTGATCTTGCCTCTTCCACCTTTTTTTCCATTATATTTCAATTTATGAAGTGTCACTTTCTGCAGGAGATAGGATAGAAATGTTTCCCCATGGTAGAAATGCTCCTGTGTCCCTCGTTATGTGGCTTAATTCTATTCTCTTCCCTCTCCTAGATCATTTTTTTTCCCATTTCCCATGAAATCTCTTCTCTGGATCTATGCCCTCCCATCCTCTGAATGTCAGTTTCCCCAAAAGCTCTTATAGCTCCTATTGTGAGGCAGGATATTGTTCATGATAGAACAACACATTCTTGGGGGTAGTTGTCTTTCTAAGAACTAAATCATTTCTGATTATATCCTTTGGGCATAATTCCAAATTGCTCTCCATAATGGTTGGTTCACTTCACAACGCCACCAACAATGCATTAGTGTTCCAATTTCCCCACATCTTCTCCAGCATTTATCATTTTCCTTTTCTGTCATATTAGCTAATCTGATAGTTATGAGGTGGCACTTCAAAGTGGTTTTATTTTGCATTTCTTTAATCAGTAGTGATTTAGAGCTTTTTTTTTTTCAAATGACTATAGATGGCTTTAATTTCTTCACATGAAAACTGCCTGTTCATATCCTTCGACCATTTATCAACTGGGGTCTACTCTCTCCTTTTTTATGAACTCTCCCATTCTGCAGTTTTGTCCTACAAAACACACTGATTTACCTGTAGGCAGAGTGTTGTGAGGTTTAGTCATTGCTATTTCAATTTTTTCCCTCCAACATCATTTCTAATTAAATTTTACCTGCATCTTTATTTCCTTTTATGCTTTTAGAAGGGAATCTCTTAACAGTTTCTCTTCTGTTTGTTGTTGTTCAGTCATTCAATCATGTCTGCCTCTTCATTAACCATACCGTCACTGAAGTTTTCTTGGCAAAGATATAATGGGGTGGTTTGCCATTTTGTTCTCCAGTTCTCTGCTCTCAACTTGTTCTTGCTCTTGTTCTTGTTAATTCCATGAATTTCTTAGTTTTTTTCCTAATTCTTTCCTCCTTTTTACTGTAGTAATTTTGTTAGTTTTATTTTCCTTGGTTACTCTATTTATTTACTTTCCTTGTGTTTCTATTACCTATTTGCAAGCCAAATAATCAGTTCACTTTCATTTTGTTGTTGTTTTTGAAATGCTCCAGTTGCCTCTCTTTAATTGAATATCCATCTCTTTTCATTGATGATTAATCTTAGGTTTGAAGGACTTGGCACTGGTGTTCATCCTGAGCTCCTTTGCTCTTTTGAACACATTATTGTATTCTGTTCTTCATTTCTTGGTGGTACAGAATAATCATGTGTTATAAAAACATCTTTTTATTTTTATTTAGAGGTCTTCCTCATGATCATTTAAAGAATTTGTTGCCATTGGAATTGATTGATTTGATTACTCTGTGACTTGTGGTACAGAATAATCATGTGTTATAAAAACATCTTTTTATTTTTATTTAGAGGTCTTCCTCATGATCATTTAAAGAATTTGTTACCATTGGAATTGATTGATTTGATTACTCTGTGACTTGGAGTTTGCATAATAGCCGAATTGTTTTCTGAAAATCTATGTATACTTTTACTAACAATATTTTCTGTCTTCAGATGTTCTGGATAGATTTATTGTATTCTTTCTTTATGTTGTGAAGGTTTTTTTTTTCATTTGTTTGTTTTATTTTCATTTGTTTGATTTTATGTTCTTCTGAGGGGAACTATGATTCTTAAGTTGTCTCTAAACATCTTGTTTTCAAAATCAGTGTCTTGCTCTTTTTTAGAGATGTGTTATTTTAACATTGTTGCTTTTTGAGCCTTTTCTTCTAGACAGTCTTTTATTTCTACTTATTTTTATTCCCAATAACTTGTTCTTAATTTTGATTATTTGGAGATACTCACCACTGTGGATTCAAGTTTTTCTATTCCGCTAATTTTTTTCTTCTATGAAAGCCATAAATTCTTCTTTCATGATTCTTATTTTCTCTTGAAACATTTGGAAAACTCCTGCTCTGGTTCCTTGGTCTCTTGGAAATTTACAGGGTCCTCTGTTTCATCATGTGTTGATTCAATTTTCTTTAATTTGCAATATTTATTCAAAGATGTTTACACTACTTTAGATGTGCTGGACATCATCTCCCCTCCTGCTTTTATATCTTCTCTATTGATGTTTCTATGTGT